CCGCTAAAAGATATTTTTGCTTTCGCGATAATCTTATATCTTGCTATTAAGCTAAAGACTTTCGACTTAAATTTTTTTTAGCTTTACGAAAGTAAAGATTAGTTTGCAATATATCGAGCGAGATTCGAAAAGCTTTTTAACGAATATTATAAGTTTTTAATATCTATAGCTCAACGTATTAATAATATTAAAGCAATCGATCGTCAACCGATAGCCGTTTTATTATTCCGCGGCAAATTAATGCTAAGTTCTTTTTTATAAGCTTCTTTCGAAAATACAAATTACGAGTCGTCGAAAATGCATAATTATCTTTTAGCTCGTAAGTTTGAAATTTTAATTCAAAACCTTAATTTTATTGATTTTTATTAATTAAGTTTAGCGGTCGACGGACGAAAGATTTTAATTTCTTGGCGAAACCTTAAGCTTCGGTACTTTAATTTAACTCGAATAGCTAAAGATTTTCTATGCATTTCTTTAATTAGTATTTGCGTAAAAAAAGTATTTAATATTGCAAAAGATATTTGCGATTATCGTCGCGGTAATTGATCGCTATTAATAATCGCAAAAGAAATAATTGCTTTATATTTTAAGATATATAATACTCGCTTAAATAAAGCTCGGCATTTATTCGAATCGATTTTAATAAATTATAATAATTTAAATAAAGATTAGCTTAAAAAAAATTCGAATAAAAAGTATAAAAGTTTTAAGAATAGCAAAATCGTTAATTTTAAAGCTTATTTTATTTTGAATATATCTTTGCTTGCGATAATCTTGCGATCGATTAAAACCTTCGAATAATAAGTTTTAAGCAACGAAAAGCTAAGTTAATAATATTAAAAGCTAAAGTGCGAAAATCACGTAAGTTTAAATAATATTGATTTTATAAATATTTATTAATTATATTAAATAAAAAAGAACTTAAATAAGTTTCAAGATATTAATAAAGATATTTCGTTTAAAATGCGATAGCTACGATACGGAACGTTTTTAAATTACGAAAGGCATTTAAAAAGTAAATTAATTTACTTGCGATATTTTTACTTTTTATCGATTTATTAATCGATTTACTAATCGATTTATTAATCGATATATTAACTATTATATAAGATTATATAAAGCGCATTCTTTCGCTTCTTAAAGCAAAGTCGTAGCAAATCGATTATATTTTTTATAAAAAAAACCAAGCAAAATAAATTAATCGAAAGTAGCTACGGATTTACCTTTTAATAAGCAAACTTAAAATGATATAAATTGAAACGTTCTTAATAATATAGAAAACGAAAACGATTTAAAAAATTTAAATTCGAACGGTACGAACGAATCGACTAGCTTTAAACGCTATATAAACCACAAAAATAAAGTGCAACGAAATACGATATTATATAATATACGCTTTTATTTAAATATAAATTCTAACTTAAATATTAGTGTAGTGCTTACTAGCACTAAGATCAGGAGGAGATTCTGTGGATTGAATAAAGCTTGGTATATTTTATTTAAGAAGCTCGTCAGGATCTATGTATATATACCTGGGAGCTTTAGTATGCTAAAGGCGCTATTAAGCGAAGTCATATGATATGTTATATATAGCTTGGGTGAAATTATGCTTGTTCCGCATAATACACCTTTTAAGTTAGCAGCGTAGCTGCTAAGCTGCAAGCAAATAAAAAAAGAAAAAAAAAGAGTGATTAAGCTTTTTAAACTTAATATAAATAAAAGAGATTATTATCGCAGTTTAAATAAATAAATAGCGATTATTATTATTAATTGAGTATTAATTAAGAATGCAATTCCTTTTTAAGTCGGTTTTATTACGTGGCGGAAGTCTTTAGCGCCGTTTTTATTGCGTTGTTATATAAGTAGAAGCGCGTTCTTTTTTATTATAATAAACATTCAACTTTTATTTATTTATATAATGCTTTTTAAGTAAGTAATTTAGTTTAATAAAATCGTTAAGCGCGGCCGAGGCCGTTTAAAAGTAAGTGCTTTTAATAGATTAATATATTTATGCTAATTATTAAGAGAATCCTTTCTTTGCTTTAGCTATTGCTATTGCTGCAGTTGCGGCGGCTGCGGCGGCTATATTACGCATTCTTACTTTCGAAGCTTCGCTTTTTCTTTTAGATCTTTTTATTAAGCGCTTGCTTATATTAACGACCGTTAAAGCCTTAAAGTGCATTAAATGCATTAATAATAAGATCATATCGAGGTTTAATAAAGACTATTATAATTGCGATACGAGCGTTATTCGCTGTCTTCGGTGTGCTAAAAGTAGCTATAGCAATTGCACCGCTGCTTTTGCCGCTGCTAATACCGCTTTCGATAATTTCGTAAGCGCTAAAGATAATAATGCTATATAAAAAGTTCGCCGGGGTCTTCGAGATGCTATGCGATAATAGCTCGCTTTAGATGCTGCCCTTTTAAGAAGTGCTGCTAGTAGTCCGAGCGGTTTAGCGAATGGAAGTAGAGGTTTTAAAAGTAGTCCCGATGGCCTTGCAGGTTTTGCTTTTGCTCTTAAGACTTTTAATTTGAATATAGCCTTTATTAAATTGAATAGTTTTATAGCAGTAAATCGTAGTCCGGTAACGCGAAGCGCTTCGGGCATATCACTTTTTCGTAAGTCAAGCTTTTTAATTTTCGAAATAATTTAATTTAAGCAGCTCTTTTTAATTAAAACTTCCTTTCGAACTTTATACAAAGGCTTTAATCTGCTGCTATAATAGCTCTTGCGCTTGCGCTAGCCGCCCTTATTGCTCTCGTCGCTTCCGCAGCTTCCGTCGCACTTATTATCGTCGCTCTTTTTGCGTTAATCGTTGCGCTAGCCGCTTTTACGGCGGCGCCCGCCGTTGCTATAACTCTTGCGAAGCGCCGAGCTAAAGTGAAAAGATTATTAAGAGCTTTAATAAATCTTTTATTATAAAAGGCGAAAGATAAAAGCGTATAAGATAAGATAAAATAACGGTTAAGATTGCTAAATAATTGTTTTTTTTTAAATCACGTATAAATAAAAAAAAATAAAATATAATAAGTAAATAGTATATGCGTGCTATTAAAGCTTCTCGATTAACGCGCGAGCGTCTTATAAATTTAAAAGCTTAATAAAGCTTTTAAACTTTTATCGAATCAAATTTTTAATAAGATTATTAGCGTGCATCTTTTTAATAAAAAGATATTAAACTTAAAAGCTCTTTTTAAAGTGCTTTTAGCGCAGCTATATATTATGAATATCGACGTAACGAAGCTTGGTAAAGATACGCTCCTTTTTACTAGTTATAAGCTTGATTATTTATTGATTATTATAATAGATTATTTAAGGCGCCGCAAAACGAAGATGCAGCTCTTTAAAAAACCGTTAAAGCGCTATAATCTCTTTTATTATAAAGGCTATGCTAAGAAGCTCCGTTTCAATAGATAATATAATGATTGTATTTTGCTTTAAAGCTTTTTAAAGGATCGCACTTTCGAAATAAAACATAATATACCTTTAAAAAGATCGCTTTATCTTT